CAATGCATTTGAAATAAAGTGATACCAGACTAAGAGTAAAAGCCCTAAATAAGAAGAAGTAATAGGCACAATTAGCTTGCTTTACCTTTATTGATAACTAAGATTTAGAACTGCTTTGCTGCATGCTCACTGCTGGTTACACATGTCACTTTAATTTGCACTGGACTACAAAAACATTCATAAATGTATAACATATACCTAAAAATTATATGGTATCTATGTCATATGTATGATTCATAAATGATAGATGCATATTCTATGAGACTAAATAATTCTTCATTATTGGTACCTTGGCATTCATTCATTCTTGAGAATATCAGAGCTACTTAAATAAACATGAATTACATGTGACATGTGCACCTCTCACCCCACCTTCCAGATATCACAGTCAATTTTCCTCTCAGCTTTAGACTACCTACAACCAGAAAAGAGCTTTACAGAACAACTCATTTTACTGTAAACCAAGGAAAAATAATCGATATTATGATAATTTCTGGAAAAGGAACAAAGGAAAGGCAGCTCATAAACAATTGGACCCAACATTCAATTTGACATTACCTTGCTGTTCATGTATTCTATTATTATGCAGAGTGTGGGGCAAGTTTAAGCTACTCATATCTATCTATCTGGCTACTGGCAATAGGGTTCTATGGTTATTTCTTGTGACTTCCTATATCTTAATATATACATCTCAAATTCTTAGAGATAGTCATTAATAACCATTAGTTTTTTGGTTTTTGGGTTTTTTTTTTTTTTTGAGGCAGAGTCTTTCTCTTTTGCCAGGCTGGAGTGCAGTGGCACAATCTCAGCTCACTGTAATCTCTGCCCCCTGGATTCAAGTGATTCCCCTGCCTCAGCCTCCTGAGTAGCTGAGACTACATACAGGCAAGTGCCACCATGCCCGGCTAATTTTTTGTATTTTAGTAGAGATGGGGTTTCACCACGGCCAGGATGATCTTGATCTCCTAACCTCAGGATCCGCCTGCCTCAGCCTCCCAAAGTGCTGGGATTACAGGCATGAGAAACCGCACCCAGCAATAACCATTAGTTCTAAGCAGAAGAAATAGAGATACCACAGCCACTATTCAAAGAGCAGCATATGTGGCTCTTGAAAAAGCAAGGGCCCCAACTATATTCCCATTTTACTAGACTGTCTTTCTTTAATATTGATTTCCCTGTCCCAATCCCATCCAGAAAACATGAATTTTGCTAATTGCTTCCCTTATCTGATGACCTGGCTCAGTTCCTAATCTTAGATCTGCAATTCCAAACTTCAAAGGAAAAGCTTAAAATGGGGAGAATGAACACTTGTGAAAACAAGGGAAAAAATCAGAATAAAAGAATAAAATAAGGAGAAGCAGGGGATAGACAGAAAGAGCCCTTTACACTTTTGGATTCTTTCAAAAATAGGTGCTTAGTGGACCCCAGGGAATTCGGGGCTCTGAACCATACCTCCTTTCATTATTGACAGGGATTACTTTAAAAACATATATCAACAATACTAGTCAGAAGCACCCTCTTTCTCTTGCTTTCATTCCCTTTATTCCTAACAATTCAGATCTGGGTAGCTAAGTGGTTATCATCTTAAGCTAAGATTCTCTGATTACAAAGTTCGCTCAAATTATGTATGTAGTAGCTATAGCAGAGAGCACAGATGAGGCCATCAATTATCTCAATTCTTTCCAGGAGTAGCAAGAACATTAACAGAGGGATGATAATGAATCAGAACTATTTTTCTAACATAGGCATATTAACTGTTCTGAAGGGACTTAAATGAATGAGTCTAGTATTCCAGCATAACCTGAGCTAGCTAGCTCCAAAGACAACTTACCTATCATCACTCAAATCTAAGAGGATATTCAAGCTAGGAAAAGCATGAATGTCTGTTTTGCTCTGGAACATAACTATTATCAGTCCTTGTGAAAGAATCATCAAGAGTTGGTTTAAAATTTGCCTTGTTATATACAGCTAAAATTATAAATATTGAGATAAAAAAGATTTGCCCACTTTGAATAGACTCCGACAAGAAGCTACAGAATAATTAGCAGGAATAAATAGTAATTCATATCCTAAACTAGAAAATCCATTCCAGGGAAGCTGCAGCAACATACATTACTGCCTAAAGAAAGCTTTTCGAGTGAGCTATGAAGTAGACACCAAAGGGAATGAGAGCAAAGACCAGCAGACTAAATTCGGTGTTTCCTAGTAGAAACAAAAAGCATTCTTTTCCTAAGGAGGGTTGTTAGCGCATTAAGGGCTCAAAATTTAGAATACAGGATTACAGAGGCAAGTAAAATAAAAGCATCCTAAAAAGGCTATGAATGACTTAAGACCTAAGAACAAATCCAGGTAAAACCTAGAACATTGTCTGGTGTGGTACCCACTATCCTCATGTGGCTATTTAAACTTAAAATTAAATTCCTAACTAGAAATCCACAGGTAAAAAACAAAGCAAATCCAGATACAGGTCTCATACCCTTCACATAAAATTAACTCAAAATGGATGACAGATTTAAATAAAAATGAACATTTCTAAAACCCCTAGAACATACCATACCATACCATACCATATTAAAGAAAATTTAGGGGTTTTGTGATGACTTTTAGATACAAGACCAAAGACACAGTTCACAAAAGAAAAAAACTTGATACACTAGACTTCATTAAAAATTTTTGATCTGTGAAAGAAACTGCCAAGAAAATAAAAAGACAAGACAGCCTTGGGGTGGTAGCTTGGCGGGTTGTGGTGGCTTGGTGGGTTGTGGTGGCGTGGCAGGTTGTGGTGGCTCAAGCCTGGAATGTAATGCCAGCACTTTGGGAGGCCAAGGAGGGCAAATCACAAGGTCAGGAGTTCGAGACCAGCCTGGCCAACAGGGTGAAAACCCATCTCTACTAAAAATACAAAAATCAGCTAGGCGTCGGGGCAGGCGCCTATAATCTCAGCTACTCAGGAGGCTGAGGCAGGAGAATCACTTGAACACAGGAGGCGGAGGCTGCAGTGAGCCAAGATGGCACCACTGCACTCCAGCCTGGGGCAACAGTGCGAGACTATGTCTCCAAAAAAAAAAAACAAGACACAGAAAATATTTGTAAGATATATGATAAAGGACTGTTACTCAAAATATGCAAAGAACTCTTAAAGCTCAACAATTAAGAAAACAAACAACCTAATTTTAAAATAAGCCAAAGACCCGATGAGACTTCTCACCAAAGAAGATATGTAGACTGCAAATAAGCAAATGAAAAGGTGCTCCACAACATATGTCACTGGAGAAATGCAAATTAAAACAATAATGAGATACTATTAAACACCTATCAGAAAGGCCAAAATCTAGAACAATGACCACACCAAATGCTGATGAGGACATGAAGCAACAGGAACTGATCCACTGCTGGTGGAAATGCAAAATGGTACACTCACTTTGGAAGACAGTTTGGAAGTTTCTACAAAACTAAACATACTCTTAACCATACGATCCAGCAGTCACACTCCTTGGTATTTACCCGTAGGTGCTGAAAACTTAGGCACATACAAAATCTGCACACAGATGTTTAAAGCAGCTTTATTCATAATTGCCAAAACTTGGAAACAACCAAGATGTCCTTCAGTAGGTGCATGGATAAACAAACTGTGGCACACCTAGACAATGGAAAGAAAGGATCTATTGCAAACGAATACTAGAACAGAAAACCAAATACCGTAAATAGGAGTTCAATGATGAGAATACATGACACATAGAGGGGAACAACACACACTGGGGTCTTTCACATGGTGGAGTTGGGGAGGAGAGAGAGAAACAGGAAAAATAACTAGTGGTTACTAGGCTTAATTCCTGTGTGATGAAATAATCTGCACAACAAACACCCATGGCACAGGTTTACCTATGTAACAAACCTGCACTTGTACCCCTGAACTTAAAATTAAAGTTAAAACAAAAGAGAAAGAAATGACTTATCAAGCCATGAAAACACAGAGGAACCTTAAATGCATGTTACTAAACGAAAGCCAATCTGAAAAGGTTCCAACTATATGATATTATGGAAAACGTAAAACTATGGAAGCAGTAAAATGTCAGTGGTTGTCAGGCTAGGCACAGTAGCTCAGGCCTGTAATCACAGCACTTTGGGAGGCCAAGGCAGGTGGATCACCTCAGGTCAGGAGTTCGAGACCAGTTTGACCAACATGGTGAAACCCTGCCTCTACTAAAACTACAAAATTAGCCAGACATGGTGGTGGGCGCCTGTAATCCCAGCAACTTAGGCGGCTGAGGCAGGATAATCGTTTGAACCCAGGAGGCAGAAGTTGCAGTGAGCTGAGACTGCTCCATGGCACTCCAGCCAGGGCCACAAGAGCAAAACTCCATCTTAAAAATAAAATTAAAAAAAAAGTCAATGGTTGTCAAGGGTTTAGAGGAAGGAAGGGATGTAAAGCTGGAGCACAGATTTTAGGGCAATGAAACTATTCTGTTTGATACTATAATGGTGAATACACACCATCATACATTTGTTCAAAGCCATAGGATGTATCTCCCAAGAGTAAATTCTAATGTAAACCATGGACTCTGATGGGTGATGATTTGCCAATGTAGGTTCATCAGTTGTAACAAATATACCACTCTGGTGGAGAATGTGGGTAGTGGGAAAGACTGTGCATGTAGCGAGAGAAAGGGTACATGGTAAATCTCTGTACCTTCCTCTCAATTTTGTTGTGAACCTGAAAATGCTCTCTAAAAGAAAGCATTTTTTATTTTTTAAATTCCTTGGTCATAATAACCATATTTCAAGTGTTCAGCAGGCCCATGTAGCTAGTGACTACTGTGTTGTGCTGGACATAAAGACATAAATGTCTCCATCATTGCAGAAAACTCTCCTAGATCAGACTGTTATACAGGGTACGGGAAAGTGACTCACTGACCTGGGGTTTGGGAAAAGAGAAATTACTAACAATGGCATTTGTCCTACAGCATTTAGTACTTTGATGAAGGATCAGGTGGATTTACCTTTCCTTTTCCACCTGCTCTTTTTTCCCTCCTTGTTGCTGCCACCATCACTGCTGCTGCTGCTGTTCTCAGAACTCTGGGAATCTGACTGACCATCACTGCTTTCTTCTGAACCTTCTGATAGTTCTTTCACCCCATCCGGCACATCTTTCTGAAAATGTAGGCATCCAATTAGGATTAATCATTACCATTTCAGCAAATAAAAATTAAATTTCTGATACGCAATGTTGCAACTTAATCGCACTGATTAATTTTTGTTACTATAGGATTCAGTAGCAGAACCAGCAATATTTTCTGAATTCCTGTCATCTCTTTGAGGCAAATAAGCTCATGTTTCCAATTATATCCAAAGATAGAAACTATATACAACAGTCATATGCAGGCACAACAGAGGTTTAAATTAGACAAATACTGGGTAAATGATGATAATAGTCTAAGGTAAATGATGATAATAGTCTAAGTTTTAAAAACTACATAGTAATTTTATTGGCTGGGTGTGATGGCTCATGCCTGTAATGCTAACACATTGGGTGGCTGAGGCAGGAAGACTGCTTGAGCCCAGGAGTTCAAGACCAGCTTAGGCAACATGGTGAAACCCCATCTCTACAAAAAAAAAATTAGCTGGGCATGGTGGCATGTTCCTGTAGTTCCAGCTACTTGGGAGGTTGAGGTGGGAGGACTAAGCCCATGAGTTTGGGACCAATCTGGGCTGGGACCAATCTGGGCAACACGGTGAAACCCTGTCTCTACAAAAAAAAAAAAAAAAAAAAAAAAAAAAAAAAAAAAAAATTAGCCAGGTATAGTGGGCACCTGTGGTCCCAGCTACTCAGGAGGCTGAGTTGGGAGGACTGCCTGAACCCAGGGAGTTTGAGGCGGTAGTGAGCTGTGATTGCACTACTGCACTCCAGCATGGGTAACATACTGAGATCCTGTCTCAAAAAACGAAATAAAATAATTGTATTAAATATATGTATGTCCATGTGGGTATGTGTATAAGTACCATTACATAACTCTGAATTCAACTACAGAATAACAGTCTAGACAGCAAGAGATAGTGCATTATTTGAATCTCACTGGTTCCTGAATATTGGTTAGTAAGTAGCAAGAATTAAATAAAAAAAGAAATCTTTTTTTAAATTTGTCTGTCTCCTTCCTGACAGACAAAAGAAAAAGAAAGAAATCATTTAACAAATCATATGAAACTCTTTGGTTTCTGCACTTAGATAGAGGGAATGCTAATCAGAAAGGATAACTGTGTCAGCTTAGTATGTGAGAGAGGTAACAGAACGGTTCCAAGAACAAAGACTAGAGAACAAGATTTCCTGGCTTTACCCTCTCCTAATTGTGCAGCCTCAGTTAAAATCTTAACCTTTCCTGCTTCAGTTTCCCCATCTATAAGGTGGGGATAATAGTACCTACCTTAAAAGATCATTAATCTATTAGCTCAAGTTAAATAAGCTAATAAATGTAAAATGCTTAGAATCATGCCCAATCTAAGAGGTCAAAAATATTAGCTATTATGTATTTACATAATATATATAAAAATACACATGTATGGCTAAACACAATAGTGTTTGTGCTTTTTTCTTTTTTCTTTTGGGAGACAGGGTCGCACTTTGTCACCTAGGCTGGAATGCAGTAGTGCGATCACACCTCACTGTAGCCTTGACCTCCCAGGCTCAAGGAATCTTCCCGCCTCAGCCTCCGGAGTAGCTGGGACTACAGGTGTGTACCACCATACCTGGCTAATTTTTTAAAATTTTTATACAAATGGGGTCCTACTATGTTGCCCAGACGGGTCCTGGGCTTGAACTCCTGAGCTTAAGCAATCCTCTTGCCTTGGCCTCTCAAAGTGCTGGTATTACAGGCATGAGCCACTGCGCCTAGCCTGTGAATATTATTTCTAAGTCAAAAACTATGGATGGTTCTTTTTTCCTCCAGTATTTTATTTTCCCACATTGTTTTAATAATCAGATAAAAAATAATTCTGACAGACACAAAAATGTGATCCTCCAACACAAAACTGATATCTATATGACACTGCAGACAAGACTATAAACTTTGATCTAGGTAAGTTAGCTGTTTTTCATTTAAGTTTATGTCCTAGTGCCATTTCTCTCTGAGTCATCTCTTACGTTATACACTTTTTTAAAATACACACCCCATATTTTTCTATTCTTTCCTTCAAAATGCAGGACAGCTTTTATAGAATTAGTTGCCAGCCAGACATCTTGACTTGTAGGTTGAACAAGTATCTGAAACATAAATATAATTATCTTCTTTTCTTAAAATTTGTGATCCATACAGGATCAATTGCTCATGTCCCAATTTCTAGAATCATTTCAGTCCTTTTTACCCATTCCAAATGCCACATATTCTATTTCTTCCTCTAATGACCCTTGTCTCCATCTCTTTTACTTGTCTCTTAATTCAGGCCCTGAGTATTTCTTCCAACCAACCATAACCACCTTTTTGACAAATGTTCCTGCTTCACCCTTCAATCTCTGAATTTTCCTCTTAAACTTGGATTTTATCATGCTTTCTTTCCAGAAAAACCTGTGACATCTGCCAACCCCCAACCCACACACACACTGCTCAGTCAGGTTTTGTTTTTATTTTCTTTTTGTTTTGTTTTCTTTGCTCAGCCAGGTTTTCAAAGGCCTCCAATGTTTGAGCTCTCTACCTGATGTTTACCACACCGGCACGCAAAGATTATGGTCTTATCACTCCAGTTTACTTTCAAGGCCACTCTGAATCTTTCCAACTGTTGTGCCCTTGCTTAAGCTATTCCCATGTCCTGGAAGGCCTTTCTTATTACTTATCTAACAAAGTCCAGCTCAAATCTTATATGTTAACAACAACAAAAAAACTTCTATATTCCTTTATTCAAAATTAATTCTTATTTTTCTATATTATTTTTTAAAACACAGAACATTTTGAGAGTATGCAGTTATTTTAGAAACCATAATATGAGCTTCAAGAGATCAGGGCCACAGCTTAACCCTCTTTACAGCCTCTATAGTGTCCAGCACAGAGGTAATATCAGGATATCGTTTGAAATATATATATTTGGTTCCTGATACAGTTCCTGACTTACAGCTCTTTTTAGCTCTTATAATTTCCTAAGCAATAGTGTTACTAGTAGAATCTTTTGCTCTCATATTTGGTCTTTGACCCCAGTTCCCAACACAGAGTTCCTAAGACCTCTGCAATTTCCTGAGTGAAAGGAGTATCTGATACAGCTCCTATATCCCTTGGAACTTCCTGAGTGATAGGAGCATCTTTTGCTACTCTTGGTGAGCTACTGCATGGTCTCAAGATGGGGGCTGGTTTCCAGGGGAACCAACTATGTGACTAGAGGGTTAGAACTTTCATCCACTCCACAATCTCAGGGAGGCAGGAAGCTGAAGGTTGAACTGATCACCAATGGCCAATAATTTAATCAATCGTGTCTATGTATTTTGGCTTTCACAAAAATGCGAAGGATTGGGTTCTGAGAGCTTTCAGATTTAGTTGATCATAGCTGGGTGTGGTGGCTCAATGCCTGTAATCTCAGCACTTTGAGAGGCTAAGGCAGGCAGATCACCAGACGTCAGAAGTTCGACACCAGCCCAGCCAACATGGCAAAACCCTGTCTCTACTAAAAATACAAAAAATTAGCCGTCTGAGGTGGCGGGCACCTGTAATCTCAGCTACTCCAGAGGCTAAGGCAGGAGAATTGCTTCAACCCAGGAGGTGGGGTTGCAGTGAGCTGAGATGGTGCCACTGCATTCCAGCCTGGGTGACAGAGCCAGACTCCATCTCAAAATAAGTAAATAAGTAAATAAATAAAAAAAAAATAAAAGATTTAGCTGGGCTGTGCGTGGTGGCTCAAGCCTGTAATCCCAGCACTTTGGGAGGCCAAGGCGAGTGGCTCACGAGGTCAAGAGATCGAAACCATCCTGGTCAACATGGTGAAACCCCGTCTCTACTAAAAATACAAAACATTAGCTGGGCATGGTGCCGCGTGCCTGTAATCCCAGCTACTCAGGAGGCTGAGGCAGGAGAATTGCCTGAACCCAGGAGGAGGAGGTTGTGGTGAGCCCAGATCGCGCCATTGCACTCCAGCCTGGGTAACAAGAGCGAGACTCTGTCTCCAAAAAAAAAAAAAAAAAAAAAAAGATTTGGCTGACCACACGGAGATTCCTGGAGGGTGGCAAGCCCGGGAAGCTCTGTGTACATTCCTACAAACCTCACACTAAGCATCTTATCCATCTGGCCATTCATCTGTATCTACTCTAATATCCTTTATAATAAATGGGTAAATGTAAGCAAAGCATTTTCCTGAGTTTAGTGAGCCCTTCTAGCAAATTAATCAAACCCAAGGAGGGAACCCCAACTATAACTAGACAGTCAGAAGTACAGGTCACAACGTGGTACTTGCAACAACTGGCATCTGAAGGGGATGAGAGGGTGCCAAGCCCTCAACCTGTGGAATGTGACACTGTCTCCAGATAGACAGCCAGCCAGCATCAGAATGAAGCTGAATTAGAGCAGCAGTCCCCAACCTTTTTGCACCAGCGACAGGTGTTGTGGAAAACAATTTTTTCACAGAAGGGTGGGGAGTTGGGGTGGGTGGTTTCAGATGAAACTATTCCACCTCAGGTCATCAGGCATTAGATGCTCATACAGAATGCACAACCAAGATCCCTCATACATGCAGTTCATAATAGGGTTCACACTCCTATGAAAATCTAATGCCGCCACTGATCTTACAGGAGGCAGAACTTAGGCAGTCATGCTTACCTGCCCACCAATCACCTCCAGCTGTGCAGCCAGGTTCCTAACGGGCCACACACTGGAACTCTAATTATTGAAGGACAACAACCTAATGTCTGCTGGAGAACTGCTTGGTATGTGAGGAGAAATCTCCACTCATCTGGTGTTAGAAGTACTGTACTTAATGGTGGATGGGAATAAGAAAAACACTTTGGTTTTCCTTTCCCCCTATCTCTACTATAGAATAAGCATTTAATAAATTTTGTAAACAGTATGGAAGGTCTAGAACAGCTAAAACCGAAAAGAAATACAGAAAGTTTAATGTGAGAATAAAACCCTGTAACCCTATGAAGTTCAACCAAGTACGTATATAAAAAGGAGAAAGGGAGAGAGGGAGGGAGGTTAGATCTTTTTAACGTTAGGGTTCCACACAACCACTGGGCATAGTGATGACTACAGCTCAAAGCTAAAAAGGTAACACATATATAAATGGACACAGTCACTGCCTGCCAAGCATTCATTCCCCTCCAGCTGATAAATTTCCTTTGGAGAAAATCCTCTCTCCTCAATTCACCCGGCTTGAGCAAGATTAATTTCAACCATATCTACAGCTGGGCAATCAGAAGACTACATACATTTGACAAGCATGATAACTAAGGTAAACTCACATGTGGGCAAAGCCAAACCAATTAAGCCAAATCAGAATTAAGTCAGAGCCTCCTACTTTAGCTCCTATCTCTTCTCAGATTTACAGCCTGCAGTGTGCAGGTTGAGGGTGAAGTTATGTATGATAAGGAAAGACCCTGACGAAGCCAGAAGAAAGTGGAGACGACAAACCCTGATGATGTCAACTGAGCTCCTGGATCCAGCCTGGGTTTCCTTAGAATTTTCAGTTACATGAGCTAATAAAATGTCTTTGAAACTAGCAAGCTTGTTATGCTAGAAAGAATATGGGCTTGGAAACTCAGTCAGATCTGGGTTCCTGTACTGGTTCTGATACGATATGGGCAACACTGGGCAAGAAAATACAATCTTCTGAACTTTCACTTTCTTCATTATAAAAAAGGAATTAATAACCACAACTGTGAATTGTGGTAGAGAATGAAATGAGAATGTAATGTAAAGCATCTAGGCAGAATGCTCCAAAGTAACAATTATTATACAAATGTTGTGGAGCTCCTTAAAAGGTCACTGGAAGTCATCTGAATTTTCTTTCAAGATAAGATTATCCTAAAGAATAAAAAATAAAGTTATTCTGATCTACCTATAGTTAGCTATAGATTAGTTTTTAAAAATGTACTGGGTGTGAGTTTGAAAATATTACCTCTTTCTGAAAACAAGCTCTTCAAGAACAGAATTCTGTCTCTATGAGTCAAATATTTTTATGTGGTCACCTCCTGGTTTTTCTTTTTAAATGACTCCCCAACAAAATATTTACCTTCAAAGTATATACTCCCATTCTACCTGGAACCTTATAGAAGATGCCCTCTTCACCTCTGGAGTTTGTATGAAGCATTGCATTCAGGCATGCAAGAGGGGAAGTTCCACTGCAAAACAAAAAGACGTGATGAGGAACACAAAGATTAATTTCTGTCTCGAAGTAACACTTACTTAAGATAAAATTAGTCAATACTCCTTTGACTTAAACATGTCTTATGAACAATAAAAAGTCTACCAATTTCTTTAAAAGAGGCTTCCATGGAGAAAATGGATGTAAAAATCATTCCCATGTATCTACAAAATAGTAATTCCTTAATGCTGATCCAGTATCTAACATTTAAGTCAAGAAAAATACAGAAGTATCACAAACATATTTTGTAAACAGTCTATTTTATTTGGTGCAAGCTTTACAAATGTCCAGATGTACAATGAGAAAAAAAGCACACACACAAACACACACAGATTCAAATAAACAATAATAATTTCCGGGGCCGGGCGCGGTGGCTCATGCCTGTAATCCCAGCACTTTGGGAGGCCGAGGCAGGTGGATCACGAGGTCAGGAGATCGAGACCTGCCTGACCAACATGGTGAAACCCTGTCTCTACTAAAAATACAAAAATTAGCCGAGTGTGGTGGTGCGCGCCTATAATCCCAGCTACTAGGGAGGCTGAGGCAGGAGAATCACTTGAACCTGGGAGGCAGAGGTTGCAGTGAGCCGAGAACAAGCCACTGCACTCCAGCCTGGGCAACAGAGTGAGACTCCATCTCAAAAAAAAAACAAAAACAAAAACAAAAACAGTATTAATTCCCCTGCATACTGCTGCACCAGACTGAATCTTGTTGTGAAACTAACATGTTGCCATTGTCTCTTGTATTCGAACCTATCATGAGATCACTTTAAAAGGTATTAAGAGCTGGGTGCAGTGGCTCACGCCTATAATCCCAGCACTTTGGGAGGCTGAGGCAGGCTGATCATGAGGTCAGGAGATCGAGACCATCCTGGCTAACATGGTGAAACCCCGTTTCTACTAAAAATACAAAAAAATTAGCCAGGCATGGTGGCATACGCCTGTGGTCCCAGCTACTACAGAGGCTGCGGCAGGAGAATGGCTTGAACCAGGGAGGCAGAGGTTAAGTGCACCAAGATCGTGCCACTGCACTCCAGCCTGGGTGAAACAGTAAGACTCTGTCTCAAGAAAAGTTATTAAGTAGGCTTCTGAGTATTTATTTTATATGTAGCGACTTGGTTAAATGTTTATTAATTCTAAGATATTTATCATCTTTACTAGAATTTCAGGTGTATAATAACCCATAGAAATTATATACATATATTATTTTCCTAACTGTAATATTTCATTTTTCATTTTCCTGTCTTCTTGTACTTATCTAACAAAACAAAAAGCAATAAAAATTATTAAATGAGTATTCTTGATTTTGTCCCTTCGCTTTTTTTTTGTTTTTTTTCCCCCAGACAGGGTCTCACTCTGTCACCCATGCTGGAGTACAGTGGCACAAACATGGCCCACTGCAGCCTCAACCTCTTGAGCTTGGTATCTTCCCACCTTGTCCTCCCAAAGCGACTAGATTACAGGCATAAGCCACCACGCCTGGCCTGTGCCTTCCTGAAGAGAATAGCACCCAATGTTGGCTTCACCACCCAATGTTGGCTTTTTGTTTAAAATAATGACTCACATATTAAGAGGAAATAGAACTATAACTTAAATGCATGCTTTCTGACATACAACCAAATGGAATCATGTGCATGAAAGAGTGAGTTAGTATAGGCCAGGCATGGTGGCTCATGCCTGTAACCCCAGCACTTTGGGACGACAAGGTGGGTGGATCACCTGAGGTCAAGAGTTCGAGACCATGGAGGTGGAAGTTGCAGTGAGCCAAAATCTCACCACTGCACTCCAGCCTGGGCAACAAAGTAAAACTCCATTTCAAAAAAAAAAAAAAAAAGAGTTCAGTATAAAATATCAAATTATAAACTGACTAGAATAAAATTATATAAAATTTTTATCTCCAATTATTAACCTTTAGTTTTTACATAACAGGAATTACAAAAAGACCAAAAAGTTGGCCTGTCATGGTGGCTCACCCCTATAATCCCAGCACTCTGGGAGGCTAAGGCAGGTGGATCAATTGAGGTCCAGAGTTTGAGACCAGCCTGCCAACATTGTGAAACCCTGTCTCTACTAAAAATACAAAAATCAGCTGGGTGTGGTGGCATGCACCTGTAGTCCCAGCTACTCAGGAGGCTGAGGTAGGAGAATCGCTTGAACCGAAGAGGCAGAGGTTGCAGTGAGTGGAGATCATGCCACTGCATTCCAGCCTGAGCGACAGAGTGAGGCTCAATCTTAAAAACGAAACAAAAAAAAAAGAAGTTGGACAAAAACAAGAGCTTCTAAATAAGAACAGTATTAAAATATAGAACACAAAAGTACAGTTGTAGGAAAAATATTGTTAAAAGTCTGGTGATTAGCATAAGATTAAGAGCTGTAGTAGTATTAGGTTGGTGCAAAACCACAATTAATTTTGCACCAACCAATATTTTAAAATAGTGGTATAATACTTAAAGACAATGTTTGTACATCTAAGGAAAATAACAAAATCATTAGATAAAAGATTATACTTCACAAGAAAAAAATTAGGTAGCAAGCAAACACACAGTTCGTATGGAAGTAATGAAATGGAATCAGTGGTCTAGAGTCTCAGGAGATGTGTGGCATTCTTAGCTTTTAAAAAATTTCTCACAATATCTGAGGTATAAGGCAGCTTAACCCCACAATTCCAGCTCTTTTCCCTCTCAGTTCTCTGTTGACAATACTCAATAACCAAAAATAAGCCTACTAGAAGAGGCTGTTGGATTCTTAGTCTATCTAAAGAGTTCTCTGTTGGGGAGAGCAGGGACATGAGTCCACTGTGTCTTGGAACTGTGAAAGTGTCCAGGGTCAAAAACTACAGTTTCACCCCCACAACACTGGTAAACAGTAACAAAGAAAAGCAAACCCTTTTGCAGAAGAAACTGTTGAGCATTTCCAAATTCGTTTCCACAGTTATGCTTATCTAATTTCGATTTCCATGTTAAAATATATATATAATTCCAATCAGGATCCCAAAGTTTATATCAAATAAATATGTAAAAATTGCCAAGAAATTTCCAGGAAAAAAATGATGGGAGACTTGCTTAACAAGATATTAACATGTACTCTTAACCACTATTACTGAAGCAGTATGTTTCCGAGAGAGAAAAATCACAACATGAATAAGAAAACAGAAAATGCAGAAACAGGTCATAATCAATTTAAAAGATACCATTTGTGTTTAGTAGGAAAAACATGAGGTCATGCCATAGTCCCCTGTAGTTTGACTACCTGATATTTGGGGACAGTACCCAAAAATTTCCTGTGAAACAAAACTTCTACCACTTTTAGTCATGTGGTTGAGAGGGACTTAATACCATGCCCATCCCAGGGGTAAATCTAAACTAGTTTAAATTAATCAGCTTTTACACACACACACACACACAATCTCTCTCTCTCTCTCTCTCTCTCTCTCTCTCTCTCTCTCTCCTCTCTCTCTCCTCTCTCTCTCTCTTTCTCTCCCTCCTCCCCTCCCCCTACCCCCTACCCCAAGTCCACAGTAACAGATTCGGGAACAGATGCATGACTTAATCAGAGCCAACTTAATCAGAGCCAACAATCTACGGAGCTATTTACTAGGGCATACGGGGGAAAAAAACTTGTTCTCCAGGGAATCTTCTGAAAGGGATCCTTTCTCTTCCCTTGTGTGGTATTAGGATGCAACGCCTAGAACATTAGTCATTGTGTGACCACAAAGGAAGGATCTAGAATCAGAATGGAACAATACACAAATAGACTGAGGAATGATACAGTACAGACCATAAGGAGAAATCCAACACCAAAAAGGGGCAGACCTGAGAAAAGTCGGGAAGCAATTTTTTTTTGAGACTGTCTCACTCTATCCCCTAAACTGGTGTGCAATGGCATGATCGCAGCTCACTGCAACCTCTGTCTCCTGAGTTCAAGTGATTCTCATGCCTCAGCCTCCCAAGTAGCTGGGATTACAGGTGCCCACCACCACATCAGGCTAATTTTTGTATTTTTAGTAGAGATGGGGTTTTGTCATGTTGGCCAGGCTAGTCTCGAACTCCTGACCTCAGGTGATCTGTCCACCTCAGCCTCCTGAAGTGCTGGGATTACAGGTATGAGCCACAGTGCCCAGCCAAAAATTTTAAAGTAGTATTACTTTTGCCACTGTATCAAGCATTTTGTTTTGATTTTTGGAGAAACTGGTTCTTCAATTCAAAAAGACACTTGTCAATATTCAATATCAGAAGAATCGCACTATTGATTTCTCTTTCTCCCAATCGGCCCCAAAGAGACTACATCGAAGAAGAATGCATTTTAAACCAGTAAGCTGCAGGATGTACATCTAACAGACCTCATTGAAATCTTACCAGAAAATGGGGATTGGGTAGGAAAGAAACTTTAAAAGATCAGCAAACTGCCAGCCCACACACTATGTAGAGGCTGTCACAAACAGAGTGGCCGGGGTGCCGCAAACCCAAAGAAGCAAAGCTTCAAACTAATAAAAAATTTGAACCCTTCCCAACCTCCCTCCCCTACCCCCACTTCCCTCCTTCCCTCCCTCCCTTTCTCTCCCTCTTTCCTTTTTCTTGCTGATTTTATGCAAAGGGCTGGCATTCTGATTGTTCTATTTTCAGATTTAATCCTTATTTTAATAAAGTTTTCAAGCAAAAAAAAATTTTGAAGTTTTGTACGTAGGCTATTCAAGATTTCTCTAGCACTGACTGATATAAGGTACAATGAGACGGTACTTTTAGAGAAAGCAGCTTCAAACCAAGAAAACAAATGATGAGATGAGTTTCATATGGCTAAATCAGTGGCAAAAACATAATCATCTCTCTCTGGCAGGAACGTAATTAAGGGGCAAATGATCCATTCTATAAGCAGTTGGGAGGGGGTGGAGATGGAACAAAAATTTGGTCCCAGAGGTCTTACCATCTTAATTTGGTCACTTTTAATGAAAAAAAGAAAAAACAGAAGTAATATTGCCCAA